TTGCGATATATTTAAGCTGCCCAAAGCTGAGAACACTTTTTTTCTCAACAAGAACTTTTTCAAATAATTTATGAAATTTGCAATATACGTACATAAATATTTTGCCTCATGTATTTTATGACATTAATAACAAAAAAAACAATATTCAAATACATATTTCTAAGTAGTCAAAGTCACATAAATGAACAGTTTTCATAGAACATTTTTTTATATAAGTTATAATTAAAAGTTCTGCACCCATTTCATATAATGTTTAAAATCATTTTCAAGGAGTTGCGCAGCTTCAAAAGGCATTTTAAGGTTTTTGAAATAAGTAAAAAAAATTTAAAATTTTTGCGGTTTTTTAGTACGTATTTTAGGTCATGCATGATTCGCTTAAAATCTCTTAATGTTCACCAATAATATTTTATTTAAAATTAAGTAATTTGTTTTGCCTTTTTTGCAACATCTTACTGATAAAGCTTCATGTTCAGAAAATTTTATTATATATTACATGGATACATACCAAAATACATAAAAAAAAACAATTGGACTTAGATTTTATTTTATTTTGCTTTGGTTTTATAATCTCAAAATTCTACATTAAAAATAATTTTAAAACTTCAGGATTGATGTAAAAAAAATGTTAGTCCCAAGTTTATGATTAAAACTAAAAAAAAGTGTTTATTAAAATATAATATCTTTACGCACTTGCGTATTTCGTGTTCTACCATTTGGTTTATGCTCTGAAAAGAAAAATTATTTATAAGTATAGTTTTACACTTCTTGTTTTATTTACATTTAATTATTCTTAGTTATAGTTTTTCGGTTAAAAATAAGTAAATTTTTGATTTCATATCATTTTTCATTTCAGCTTTTGTTATGAAAAAATATTTTTTTTATTTGTTGCTACAATTTTTTAATTAAAAATATTTTATAGGTTATTAATTTTGATTTTGGGCTTAAATATAGATTTCCAATTTTATATCGCAATTTTTTTTGTATTTAAGTTCGCTACGTAGCAGGTTGTAAAGTTGGAGTGGGCGTATGCGCAACTAATGCAATATGGGTAGGCCATTGCGGTTAGCATACTTTTAGGGATCACGCTGGCATTTTCAATAGAAATAATTTTTTTCCCTTCTTTATTCGCTGCAAATCGTAATTACATACATTTTAATTAATTTTTTTCTTTGCTATTATAAACGTTTTGCTCCATTGTATTTTGCCAAGATTAAATATATGGATATTTACTTTAAATACATATATACATAATATATAGATTATATTAGAATATGAGGTTTTGCACTGCGACCTAGGGTTGTGTCAGTATAAGGAGTAAAAATGTGTTATTTTCGAGGTGTACGAGGACTGTTGAATAGTACCACATTTTCTGTGTGATAATTTTGACTCCTAATGGCAATGAGCTATTTCTGGAAAATACTTATATATATAGGCCCCTGTTAATTAAATTGAATGAATCAAGAGCCCTATTATTATTTTTTGGGGGCAAGTGGACTCTACGTTGCCCTTTTTATTTTATTTGAACAGCCGAAACTCTCGCGTACATAAGGAGCGTCGGACAACCATCTGAACTTTTGTGGCTTATTAGTTAGTCTCTCTCACTGTCCATATGATCATTGCTAATAGGCAAAAAATTGCATCTAATCGCCACCTTAAAGTTTTCTTTGAAAAAGGTGAAATCACATCATCTCAGCACTTAATTTTTGACTAAATTTATTAAATTAGAAATTCTTTCTCACCATTCGTACCTATTCAAATGTTCCACACTCTATGTACTGATAAATAATTGCTCTCATTTCAATATACATTTGTTCGTCTACATACATGTATGTGCTATTTACCAGTATATGTATTAAGTATCTGCTCTATTCGAGCATATGCACATATGCCCATATATGTATATATTTATATTCATATATGTATATATTTATATTCATATATGTATATATATTTATCCATTCAAATAGCCTCTCATATTGCTAAGCGTATGAGCAACATATTCAATGCATTTTGCAATCGCTTCATTGCTGTTTGCCTTTGCCACCGTTATAGTACGTTAGTTTGCAGTGCGTTGTTGTTTTTTTAGTGGCTGCGCTCTAGTGCTGCCAACGCTGACGTTTATGTTAATGAGTATACGTTTATTAATGCGCCAATACATATGCATTAATATAGCTATCTCACTTAGCTACATTTGTATATGTGTGAGGATGCATATGTGTATGTATTGCAACTACAAAAAGTATCGTTATATATGCATATATTTAGTAGTTAAGGATTTACTATGTGTATGTATGTATGTGGGTGTGCCTGTGAGCTAGAGGTTGGCCCGTCCCACTGATTGCGATTTTCCACAAACTATTTACATACACATGCAAATTAGGTGTATGTGTGTATATTTATGTATATGCGCTTACTGAAACTAGTTTATATTGCTCGAACAACCACCGCAGCCACTCACTAATGCTCACATATTTGTTTGTATGTTGTTGTGTTGTTGCTATTGTTCTGTCGGATGATAATTATGTGAAATTTATGTGTTTTTGTATAGAAAATAAAACCTGATTTTATACTCAAATGAGTGAAATGTGAAAGCCGCACAAAAATGTATGTTACTACACATACATATACACATATACATATGTGTGTATATTTTGAATTTAAAAGTTGTTTGAAGCTGCTGGTGGCGGCTGAGCATTGAATATATACATGCATGCATATATATGCACACTTATATATTTTATATGTTAAAACCTATATATATATATGTGTGTATAAACAGTGTGTTGCTTTGATCTATAACATACAAGTACTTGTATATGTACATATATTATATATATGGTATATGCTGACATCATCTGTCGGGAAAGGGTTATTATCTTTTTTTGTTTTGCTTTGACCGGCGCGCCGCAGCAACAGAATTGTTGTATTTCCGCCTTTTATTTCATTTATTTTAAATTTATTTCACATTCATTTATTTGCATGAATGACCAACGCAACGTATGACCGCGCGGCTGGCTGATTACGCCTCATACCTTTTGCAACAATGCTTTTGTGTTTTTTGTTTGGTTTGAACGCGCGTCTTTCAATGATAATGAAATGAGGCGCGCACAGATTTGTAATTGTTGTTGTTGTTTATTTTTTCCCTCATTTCACCGTTATTTGACCAACTCTTAAATGGTTGCATTAAGTTTGCTGCTATATGGCGCGTTATATGACACTGAAGGCGCTGTGGTCAGGTTAGTCGTTGTGTGCGGCGGAAGTGTTCAAGTTGTTGCACAACACAAGTACTCGGTGTTGAAAATGTTGTGCGTTTTACTTCTACATTACTTTATACATACGCAGAAGGACTTAAATTTAAGGCGCGCAAATTACTAAACAATGTTTTGAACCGCGCAAAATAAAACTAGTGCGCGTTACTTAATGCAATGCCGCCAGCAAACGCGCTACCTTAGTCCACGTCCTTCACTCCACGCAACATATAGCAGTAAGTGGTATAACGGTGAGCGCCGCTACAACGCGACCTACCAATGTGTAGAAATGTGGGTGACAGCGTGTATATGGTTACGCTTCCGTTTCCGGCTCCATACCAAATAAAATACCAACACAAATGCGCTCACCGTTGATAACACAGCAAGCGCCAGCAACTGAGCAAGCCGAAGTGAGAGCTTGCTTGAGCGCGCGCTTCTGTCTGCAAACAGCGCTCACTGCGCGCTCACAAGAGCTTGGCTAGCGCTGGAGCAGCGTGTCACCCTTTCGTCACTTTGCAGACTTGTCGCTCGGCCCACGCACACAATGTGCTCAAACGGCAGAGAAAAGGACTCAAGCGCGCTGCTGACGCGAGCAGCAATAGCCAGCGCTAGAACTCTCTGTTGCGCGCGCGTGCAACACAAGCATTGTCAAACGGACAACTACATATGCATGTGTGTGCTTATGTATGCATATATGTACGAGTGTGCTATTACTTAATAATGCGTTGCTTGCGGAAAATGAGGCGGAATTTTGTAAATTTTCAACTCAAAATTGTGCTGCCGTCGTGCGCTTATCACTATTTGCATTGTTGCCGTGTCACAGTTCTGTAGCCAGTCGAAAATTTCGTATTGCTAAATAGCGCCGCAACGCGTTACGCGCGCCAACACGTTAACAGTATCAAATTAGTAGCAGTTCACAAAACATACGCTATGCAACGCGCTGCTCTAAACAACCGGAACTTGTGAACACCAACGCCAACACCGCAACTCAACGCCCAAAAATATCACGAAAATTTGCATTCAACTCATTCCGTGTTGTTGTTTGTTGTCGCCATCGCCATCGCCGTCGCCTGCAACGCCAACACCAACGCATCATTGCATTTGCAGCAGTGTTGAGGCCAGTGCATGACGTCGCGCGCCACACTCGTAACACCACTCGTGCGGCCGGTAGTAGTTTTTGTCGCCGTCGTTGCTGGTGTTGCCATTACCGTGTTATCGTTTACCGTTTACCGTTAGCGCTGCCGTTGTCTCGTTGTCGTCGTCGTGGCATATGTCACTCGGTATTTTGACCACCAACTTGGCGGCCGCATTTCCGGCTCACAAATTTGCGTAATTTAAAGTTGCACTTTGCATCGAATCGAAAGCAGCATCGTACGCGTTCCGCGGCATTAAAATCGCACCTTTGCAAAGTGCGTCTCGATTTTCACACGCGTGACCGGCGTTAATTCGTGTGCACTTTTGTTGACCAACTGACCAAGCGACCAGGTGGCAAGTGTAAAATTACAGGTTGCAAGTGGCAAATTATTACAGCTGGTGTCGCGCTCCCGCAGGCAACTTAGCTTGTCTCAATATTCGAGTTTCAAAGTGAAGTGTAACCGAAAAATCGACTAAAACTCGGTTGAAAATTTAAGCATGAATTTGTGCGTTAGAATTTTGTAACAGTCTTGTGGCATAGTTGTCATAAGTGTTAATAAAAAAAGTGAAAAAGAATTAAAAAAAAATTACTTGTAAAAAATTTACTTTTACGTGTGTGAAAAATTTCTGAGTTGTTGTTGGCGAAAATTTTTTAAGTGCTGTAAAAAATATGCCAATTTTCTATGTGCTCATCATGTTGAAATAAATATATATGTCCGCATAAAAGCAACCAACCGAAAACAGAAAGCTCATAAAACGTGTTTCACACAAACGTAAGTCCCAAGAAATGCTTTCAGAAATAAATGTTCGACCAAATTTTATGTATTGTCTTTCAAGAACAGAAAAGCAACATTTAAATTTTCTAAAAGATTTTCCATATGCATATACCTATATACAGTATACTCCTCCTCCAAACAGTTAAAAACTCTTCGATACTTCTTGCTAAGGCAGGCTAAGCGCTAGCTTCTAAATTTTGTTACACTTCTTAGAAGTCGATGTAAAATTCTTGGATCGTCAAGTCAGCGCGTAGAGCACATGGACTTTCTGGTCTAAACTGGTCTAAATTCTTCAACTTATTGGAGTATTAATAGAGCTCGATAAGACACTTAGAAGAATAGTGCGTACATTTGGTCTCGAATAGCAAATTCAAACTAATCTAAAGAGACAAATATATTGATTTAATTTTTTTCCCCGAGTTCATTAAATATGCTTGAATAAAACAAAGAACTTTTGAAGAAGAAGTTTTGTCGATTGTTTTATGTGAGTTTCAAAACCACTCTAAATACAAAAAATACCGTTAAATTTAGAACAAAATTATTATATATCACATATATTAGACTCATCTCTATTGGCACCTCGGACGAGCAATAAAAGACGTACATATAAATAAAAGTATTTTTCACTACACGAAGCATGGATGTCGACAACATAGAACTGGTATCTAGTTGTTATTTTGTTAAAAAGTAGTGAAGCAAAGAAAAATATATAATGGCCACTTAAAAAATTGTTTTCACTATGTCAGTGCACCTTTTGAGCGCTCCGAAACTTAGTGAGTAAAAACCGACCGACGAATAGTGAATGAAAACGATTTACCCCTTATATAATAGCTATATATCTTACTAGAAATCTGAATATATATTGCTACAAACACAGTCGATTTTTTTCACATATTTGTGAAGTTGTGCGACAAATGGACTATCCTAAAAATATCTAATGATTTCTATGAGATGCTGACTTTGATAAAATCCTTTTAAATGTCGCACCTAAGTTCGACAGTGTGACACACAGTACAGGAAAGCAGATTGTGATTAAAAAATTTTGCTTCATAAATTCACGGCACTTTTATTGTAATTTTTTTACTTAAGGATTTTGATGCTCTTGAACATATATCAAGCCTTGATTTTTAGTCCTTACTTAGTTTTGAGTATATTTCTTAAAAATTTTTGGTATCTGTAAATATTACAAAAGCGAAAAAATATTCAAATTATTATTTGGGTAAAAATTTACTTTTTTTTCCCAAGGGAAGTTTTTTTTGGCGCTTTGGCATATCTGTGGCGACAATATTTCCATTTCCTTTAAGTAAACCAACACTGGAAATTAAATTGCCAAGAAATAAATAATAAAAATTATCAGCAGCTGAAAAATAATTAAATTTTTGTTTGAGATAACTTTCAAGCCGGTACAAAACGTTTTTTAAAATTTATATCCTTTTAATTTCTACTCATATTTAGGCCGAGATTAGGCGTCTCTTTTGTAAAACCGATCCGGTTTTTTTTAAACATTTGAACTTTTTATTCGCGTGAGTGAAAATTTCAAGCAAGCGAAATCATCCTAAATATTTTAACTCGTGGTTGGCTATGTTTAATTTGTTGATCTTACCTTATAGTATTAATTTTCAGTGTACAATAACAAATACTATGTATTTGAATGCAATTTTATGACGAAAAATTTCCCCCTTTCTTCACCTGGCTTGCCAGATTTGTTCTATAATATTGCCTATTTTTCACAACTTAGATACTTTAAACAAATGCATGTGGAATTGTGTGAGTCTTTGACCAAATTGATTAAAAATTTATAAAAAAATTGCTTCCAAATCTTAACACAAGAAGTATACTTTTAGAGCGAAAATAAAAATGTGTACTAAAGACGAAACTGTTGCTTTTCACCATCCTAGTCAAGAGCATGTGGTGAATATTTTTTTCGAAACCTTCTAGACAAAATATATGGTAAAATATAGAAAAATATGGTGATAGTGATCTATTTCTTTTCAATTACCAACCTGTGAATGCTTTAGGCTAAATTAGATTAGATGTTCCGGTAGCTTAATTGCTGAGCGTCCAATTGTAGGCAAAACTTTTGATATTGCATGTGAAGAGCAGTTAATACAGAGCGACGGCACCGAGTAAAATATTGGCTAATATATTTCGTTCCATTTTTTTCTGGATTTTATAGTTTTTTGAATAACTGTGTCAATAAGTTCGGTGAAAAAGTTTAATCAAGGAATTTGTTATAGATTAAGAGTAAAAGAGATAAACTTTCTGTAGCAGAAGAGAAAATATTTAGAAACATTTTCTTTGGCTGTACTATTTTGTGGTTAAAACAGATGCTAAAACTCATCTAAAATTAAAAATTTAATTTTCTTTTGGTTGTAATAATCTTTTAAACATTGTTGAACTTGTGTGGGTTTAAGAAAATATATCTCATAGTATATTTTTGACTACTGATAACGAGCAAGCTGTTTAAAACAGTGAAAAAGCTGTTGAAATGGGACCTAACTAAAAGAGCTTTATATTCAATTAGTCATTCTAACTTTTTTTATCTCTTGTGAAATTTTCAATTAAGCAAAAAACGCGAGTGATTTTTTTTTTGATGAAACAGTTAAAATATATTTTTAAAAACAAATGGTACATGAAAATATGACAATCGAACATCCCTCAGAAAAAGCGGAACCTCATAACTTGATGCCGTATCATCTCAAAACACAAAACCTAAATTTTATCGTTCCCAAATCGATTAATTTTTTTTTTTAAATCGGTTAATTTGTTATTGTATAACGAAAAATATTCAAAACTTAAAAAACCTCTTCAGCGCTACCTGCAAAATTTTGTATGGATGCAGTGTTTAGAATTTCGATCGGTGCAGTAGTTTTGTAGTAATGGCGTGCAACGACTTTGAAATCGTGAGTTGTTGGAAAAACGCTTTAAAGTTTTAAGCTTTCTATATTGTAAATTCTGAGCACGACTCGACTTATAATAAAATTTTCTATGGTAAATTTAAAAAGAAAAAATTTTTTTTTTCACTATAAAATTTTTTTTAATTTCGAGCTCAGATATTTTTTCAAAATAAATAACTTGTACGCTTAGTACATAATATTTTACAATTTTAATTAATTACATAAATATCTTATACTGGTTATTTGACTTCTGTGACGCTGAATTTTACACAAGAAATGATTATTATTATACCCTGTACATGGTATATTGAGTTTGCCACAAGGTTTGCAACACCCAGAAGTAAACGTCGGATATCTCATAAAATATATATCTATAAAAGATCAATAGCTCATAAAGCATAGTTTATTTAGTTATCTCCGTTCGTCTGTCTGCACGTACGCGATTTAGTCCCTCAGTCTTTGAGATATCAACCTGAAATTTTGTAGACAATATTTTTTCCCCAAAAAGCTGCTCATTTGCCGGAATCGCTGATATCGAACCACTATAACATATAGCTGCCATACAAGCTGAACGATCAAAATCATGTCCTTGTATGGAAAACTTTGGTATTTGACAAGATATCTTCATGAAATTTTGGACGAAGTATTTGCCAAGGCAAAGATACAATCTCCGAAGAAATTGTTTCGATCGAATCACTAAAGCATATAGCTACCACACAAACTAACCGTTCAATATTAAGCCTTTGTATGGAATATTTTGTGCATGTGAAAGGTATTATATAATAGCTTCGGTGTTGTTTTTTATATATATACACTAGAAATTACATATTTAATATTTATTTTAAAACAATTGTAGCAAACATGTTGCAAATGCCAGAATATTTATGGAATTCTATTTTTACACCGAAAGTTTTTGTTAATTTTATGTTTATTTAGCCACTTTTATCTGTATTTCAATATTTACACATCGAGCTCGAATTCACTAAGTGCCAGGAAAGTGTATTTTATTTGCTTGTTACAACAATTAATGGCATATAAAATTCTTACATGAAATCGAAATAATAACAATAAATTGAAATTAAAACAAAAACGCAACGAAAACGCACGAAAAAAAAGAAAAACTGAAGCAAAAGCAATTGTGAAAAAGTGAAACCTTGAAAATTGAAAAATTGCTGGCGTACCGCACTTATTTACCGCAAGTTTCACCGCGAAATTGATCATTCAATGGCTTACCGAGGGCAAATATCGGCGAGTAACGCGATAAAAAGCGCACTTCAACACAAGCGCAGCCAAAGCGAACACACACACACATATATATATATATACTAGCAGCTTTAAGTGTGTGCTTATGGCATATGTGTGGCTGTGTGTGTGTGTGTGTGTGGGAGTCATAAAGTTGCAAAAAAGCAAAACAATAACAATAAACATGCAGTCACTTAAAAAAACACAAAAAAATTTTAAAATTTCATATTCAAATACAACAACAGCAGCGAGTTAACATCACAAAGTTGCGAAAAAAAACTCAGAAATTTACATGCAAAAGCAAAAATAAAAACAAAGCGAACTAAACGAAATGAAATCGAGAAAAAATTCACAAGTGCACAGAAGTTATTTGGCATTGCGAGCCGAACACTACCCCCGCGCCCCACGCGCCACCAGCGCCGCCATCATCGCAATGGTCTACCTGCCGCCGGTTGACTCGCCAGCGCAGTTACTGCTCTCCCCGCATATATGTGTGTGTATGTGTGCCTGTGTATGTGTGTGTGGTGTGTTGGCCGCAGAGTAGGCCAGTTGTTGGTGTAATTTTTGTTTTGAAGTGGTCAACCAACTGAGCGACCACAAACGAAACAAAAACAGAAAAACTGGCGAATGCATAAAAACACATATACTACAATAAAAGCAACAACAAGAATAAATAATGAAAGTAAAATACAGACCGTTGTTTACAACTTCTGCGCTGCAATAACAAAAGCAACGGCGATAACAAACAAAGCAACGAGATAATTATGAAATTGTCATGAAATATAGGTCGTGTGTGTCTGATGCGAGGGCAAAACGCCTAAAAGCCTGCCACGCAGTGTAAACAAAACGATTGTTATT